ATTTATTATCATTAATTATTAATTAATAAATATTATTGAATATTGAATATTCAAAATATTGGACTTTTATAATAGAAAGATCCAGTAGCATATGCTTATCTGTACTTTATTCAGAGTTTATATTGTTCAGTTTTAAGAATTACAGTCTGATATTTGATATAAAATACTTAATATTTATTATTTGAAATAAAATACTACACTGCTATGATACTTCCAACTTTGAATACTCTCTCCTAGTAATTTCATGAAGAATTTAAGAAACGTGGCTGAAATAATTGATTATTGTGGAATCATATATAACAGTTCCCAACTACCACTTTATAAAAACTCTCTTTGAGCAGGAAAAAGAAGATTGCAAAGTCATGCACAAAATTTATCTGGAAAACTACCATAAAGACCACTAAGAAATCCAGTAGAATCAGACAGATCAAAATCCTTGCTTTTTTCCAAGCAAAGATATTACTCTCATGACTAAAGTATCTCAGTAGAAATGTACAACTCCTTTGGAAAAGATGCTTCTTAAGAGATGTGACTCCCAAAAGGTGCTTCAGAGTGCACAGAGAAGTATGAATATAGTCTTGGTCTGCAATTCATTAAAGCAACTGTGTCTTTAGGCCTAATGTTACAAAGCACCTTTTTTTAAAAAAAAACTGAAAGTGCTGTACAGTCCTATTAAATATTAGGTCTGTGCATGCTTCAAAAATAATTTGGAAGAAGTACTAATGCATAGGAACATGACCATACCAACTCATTTCATTAAAGCAGGCATGCCTTTATTGTGATTTCTTAAAGTAGATATATCTTTTTCTATATTCATGCAGAAGTCTGAAAAAAGACTTCTAAAGTCAACTGATGTTGACTTTAAAGAGTGTACAGTTCAAAAGTACAAATCATTTTTGACACATGCACACCAACAGCCCTGTTAAATATTTGTCAAGTATTGTTACATTTTCTCTATAATACATATATGCAATAGTTGTACCTATTTACTTCTAATTTACATCAGTGATTGCATTCAAATGGAAATGACTTTTCTTGCTAAAAGTAACTTGCTTGAATTTTTACATTTTAGCTATTTACATTTTAGCCATAGGGCCATAGTTTCAGCACCTGGTACTTCTATATTTATTTTTAATTAAAACCATATGTAATTAACTCAAACATCCTGAAAACTTTAACCATCTGTAGATGGTACGTCATCTGTCACTGCCCTTGGGATGATATCCCAAAGATATTTATATCCAGTATTAGGTCTTGTGATATTCTACTGAAGATCTATATTGTTCCCATCATAATTAAAATTAAGCTCCTAAAAAAGCTATTTGATCCCAGGTCATGAGAATGAAAATAAAAAGATTTATTTATTGGATTTCATACCCCAAATTATATCCCCACAACAAAAGCCATGTGAGATATGTTGGGCTAACAAAGTCACCAAATATGCTCTGTGATAGAATAGGAAGTTGAACCTGGGTGTCCCCAGTCTAGCATTTAAACTGTTATACTATATTGCACAATAAGCATGAGCTAAAGAGCTCCATGTGCATATAAATATATATCTGAAACTCCCCATTTTAATTCAACATGGAAAGCTGCTGCGATAGCATGTCAATATTTGAACTGGAGGTCTGGAAGACATTTTCAAGGTCAAAACACTCTGGCCCAGTAACATCTCATTCTAACTTGGAATGGCTGTTCAGAGGGACCTTTCCACCTTACTGTCAGGTTTCTGACTTAGAAACAGACCACTTCAGCTATCAAACAGGCACTAAAATTGTTATTTTGCGGCAAGATTGAAAGATGTAGGAATGGGATGCTTCAAGGTAGAAAAGTTTCTGATTTATACACATTCTTAGGAGAACTGACAAGTGGCTCAAATTCTTTCAGGGAAATATAACATCAGTTTCACTTTAAAAAGCTTATGGACAGGAGAAAGTAAGGGCACAAAGAATGCTGAAAAATAAAAATTCAGGAAAAAATTTTCATTGCTCTTCCCATTGGGAGAGATAAGGGGGAGGAAAAATTAGCATTTAAAATTTCCTAATGTACTATCTTGCACAAAAGAGGTGAAAGCATTTTTTAAATCGACACATATGGCAACTTTGAAAGTAAATTCAAATTTATTTAATAATTGTCTCCTTCTACCTTACTTTTCTACACCAACCTTCATCTGCATATAAATTAGCAAATACACAATTCTGTAAAAAGTGTTTTAACTTTTATTTTTTTTCTGAATCTGTGATTATATCTGTGTTTGATCTGTAGTATAATTACGGGTGAACAACATTTAATGGTTATACTTTTTCTTATTTTAAATATACTTTAAATGAAATATAATATCTAACAAAGTATACAAAATCAGCATAGGCAGATTCTCCTGACCTAAGCACATTATTATTCAAAGATGTAAATAATTCAAAAACATTATTTAGTAATGAGGTAAATAAGCAAATTATTGTAGAAGAACAATTCTGTATGTCTAAACTAGGGGAAAAATAAAATGTGCAGCATATATAATTTCTTTTAATATTTTTCTATGTTGTTAGCATGTGTCTCAGAAGAAAGAATAAGTTAACTTGGATCTCAATATTTTGAGTAGGATCATTGTGTGTTTTAGTTTACGTACCCATCCATAATATTCAGTTTTCTCCAATACATGTGAAACATTAGAACAGCAAAACCACAGAACCAACTAGAAATCTGAACAACAATTTATCTAGGATCAATTCTTCTAGCATATCATCCTGTCATATTATTAATACCAAAGCAACCATACAACCTACAGCCCACACATACACTTTTAAAAGTCTCTGTAGCAATATGTCGCATGTCCTTCCTCTGCCTTATCAGTGCTGTTGCTGCAGTGACCTCTATGTGGGAGTGGAAAGAAGATGCTCCATTTGAAATCATAATAGAGAAAACAAGTGATTTGTTTCTTAGAACTTTTATTCCTCTTTCCAATACTAGTCTGGGAGAAAAGCTTCTTTTCCTGTGGACCATAAAAGTAAATGTGAATTGAAGTAAGTCTGTGAATGAGAGATGGGTATATGCATATAATAAAGCCATAACACGGTTGGCTTGTTTGCAATTTAGTGTGCTCTGCAAATAGGTTAGGATAATAAACCAGTCTGAAACCACGGTTCCTTGTTGATGCACTAATTGCAACTGTGTCTTAGCATGCACACAAATGAGAATCACAGTTGTGATTCCATTGGTTTATTCTTGTGTTTCTATGTGTTATGCCAGACCTCTGACCAATCCACAGAGGCAGCTAAAAGCAGCTACAGATGGAAGGAAAATCAACTGCATGACTGGTTTTGACTTGTTTTTCCCTCAATAAACCATGGTTAAAAGAAGCCAGGCATAAAATATGTGAATGTAGCTAATGTTAATGTGTCTGTACATCCCGCCCACAAGCATTCATCGCTTATTACATATTTTCTAGACAACAGGTATATTCCAAAGTGGTACACAACAATAAAGCAACACATTGACCACACAACCCATAGAATAAAACTCAGTTTGCAAAATTGTCCACTAACTGCTCTTCCTTAGAACATAGGCTCTGGAAGAGAAAAAGGCTGCCAAAGGAAGATGTAACATATTTAGCTTGAATCCAAGCTAATATATTTGGGAGCAGGGGGCAGGATCAGTACTGGAGTTGAATAACCAGGAGTAACAAACATAATATGATCTGCATTATAACACTGTATGAACCCAAACAAGGTAATTATATTCCACATCCTGGCAAGACACTTATTAACCAGGTTGCAATAATACTAGGTAAACTGCAGATGAGCCATACTTCTGTCCAGTAACAGTACTTGGGATAAATATGTTGTTATTAAACCTGGACAAAATTAATCCTTTAAGTTTGAGTTTTTAAAAAGGAGCCAAAATAGAATACAGACTGCTTATTTCTTAAACAGTATTCCCTATTATTCCTTAAACTGTAACACAGAATGTTGCTATACATTAAGGCAATATAAGATAGTACTATACAGAGAACATTTTCTATAAAACAGCACTTAATCACCCACAGCAGGCCACAGACTACACAAAGAAGGTTAATCTTGTCAAGGCAGCAAACCATAGAAGCTTCCCAGAATGAGGGATTTAAGTGACTCAAGTTTATTGTCTAACTTTGACAAGCAAATATGGCAAGACCTCATTAAAAACAGATTAGTTACAGCATATAAAATATGTTGCCATGAGACAAAATTACTGGATAAATATAAAAATTCCTTCTCACATCTTGTCTTTAAGTATCAAGCAATTCAAGTGTCACTGCATAGAGAGAGACAATAGTTTGCTCCTCAAATCCTATAGATCGAGCAAAATATGTCCGTGTTAACAAACAGGTGGGGAAGAACAATCTCATAAACAATCCACTATTCTGAAATGGTTTCCTTCACTAGTAAAGTTGCATAACCACTAATGACTCAGCTAAGCCAACTTAAAAAACAGAAATATTCCGTTAGCAAAAAAGAGAGTTGAAAGCTTTCCACTGTATTTGAATTGCAGATATTCACATGGCATAGTTTGAACATGTGACATTTCAGAATGCACAGTGAGAAAATTCTTGTTTAACAGTGCTGTCACATCAATGTTTATCTCCACATAAACAGTGACACCTTACGCATGCAAAAAGCAAATAAGATCATTTATTACTTACTGCCAGGAATTCACAGGGATCATTTTTGTTTACTTAATGTTTTAAATTCTGATATGCTTATTTGCTCAAAAGGTAAACAGTCTGCAGAATACATAATGATATATGAAATATATGTAAGAAAAAAATCAAAGTTTGTTTTATTTTTCATGGCTAAACCAGCTTCTGATCCCAAAATATTTCATATTTTATACTAAAACCTAGCAATAAGTTATTATTTTTAAGCAGTTGCTAATTTTTCACACTAAGATACTTGACACATAAACTTCTGCATTAAAACAAAAAGACTTATATACAGTATGTGTATCCTGTCTCAGCTGTCATTTACCGTGTTTCTGATAGGAATCTTCTTTGGTTCTGGGGGTACATCCTGTGGAACAAATTTTACTGGCTCCTTAATCTGCCTCCTTGATCGCTTAGTTCCATCTGGTAAAGTTTCCATGGCAATGTCTGCTTCCATGTCACTGCTACCTGCTTGGTCACATTCTGAACACTGCCTGGAAAGACAAAATATACAGAAATTTAAACTGAATTCAGCAGCTTCCAAAGCAAAAGCAAGCAGGCTGAAAAAAAAAAAAAGCCAACGATTAAAGAAAGATCATGTTTAGAATGCAAAAGCACCCCAAATACAGATAAGAATATTTGGACATAAAATAAGAATCCCTTCCTTACTTCTTTTTCTTAAACAAAAGATCCTGTGATGTTGCAATCTGTTGATTTAAACTGCTTATTTTTTTAAAAAAAAGGTACTTATAAAAGCAGCCTATGGGGAGCGGGAAACCTTTTTTTTTTTGGAAAAACAGTGATATGTTTTTCACATGTACAGATCTCAGTACATGTGAAAAAAAGATATGGGCCAAATGCCATTGTTCTATTCCCACCCCCACCAAGCTTTCCTTATTTATTTAGAAGATATACAATCTCTTTTTTCATTAGCTACAGCTTCTTCTTCACAAATAATATCTCCCATAATGAATTTGCTCTCTGGGAGAAAGATGAGCTGAATCACCTTGGGTGTCTGCTAGGGGTCAATTAATCACTTCAAATTAAAGATGGCAAGAATCCCAATTTTAAAACAGACATTTTACAAAAGGAGGAGAGGCAGTTTAACATAAATCTGGAGTCTCCTGAAAGAAAGCTGAGAGACAGCAGTTAAAAGAAAGCAAACATAAACATTTTCTTGTGTACTTACATAAAATTAATTATTTGGAAGATATTACTTGGAAGATATTTCTATCAGTACTACAAACTTAACTACAAAGATTACTCAATTAAAGTCTCTGACATTAAGACGGCCGCCCATACAAAATGTATTTAGATGGAATCTATCTCTATATTAATGTACTATTTAAATTAAAACAAATTTGCAGTAACTTAGGAGACTGTACCAAGAGTACGCCTACAAACACTTTTTTAAATCAAGTGTTTTAAAAGCCAAAGGGAGAAAGACTATGCAGAGATACAAATACAACTAATATTCATCACTTTTGTAGCAGGCAACTTCACAACAGATGTCTTAACAAGGAATAAGGGAAGGTAAAGTCTTCTTTAGGTCAAGTTCAATTCTGGGTTGGCTTCATGAACACATCCATGCCATCTTCTTGGCAGCAATACTAAAGTGCTTTGCTACTTCTTTCAAAATGTTTTTCAATTCCCCAGTCTAACCAACATCCCTGGTGTCCCTACCAGTACCCCATACAAATACTTAGACAAGTTTAACTGAGCTTAGCTTCTGAACATGTAAAGTCAGCCTGGCCCCTAGTGTATCCTAATAGCTGCTCTGTAATACAATTAAATGGAAAATGTGCATGAGGGAGTATCACAATAGTAAAGTAAATAAATTCAGTTTTATCTACATTCCAAATTATCCAACTATATTACTAGGATGGTTATAAAGCATTTCTCTTGTATTGCTTATGCCAGTCTTCCTCAACATGGATAGGCGGGCTTCAACATCCAGAACTAATAAGCAGTGACCATGCGGGCTGGGAAATTCTATGACTTGAAATCCACACTTATGGGGATTGCTGGTTATACCCTTCCCATACATTATCTCAAAAATTCTTTAAGCTGGAAAAGTATTCTTGCAAAACCTATTAGAAGACCATTCCAAACTGAATTTGTTTTATAACAATAAATATGCATTTCCAATATAAATATTATTACTGTACACTTTAATACAAATCCCATAGTAAAAAATAAAATAAATCAGAATTTTGTACTTTATGTATTCTTTTTTTCTTCTTTCTCCAGGAAAAATGACCTTCCAAGGGTAAATGAAAAAGACATATGAAATAACAAGTGCTCTGTGAATAGCAGGGATATTGTTTTGTTGAACTTCACATTTCTAATGCAAACTTCAACAGAACTTTCTATACTCTTTCTTCTGATTTTGAAAAGAATTGACAAAGACACATTTAAAGATGAAACGGATGCAATCAATAAGTCTCAATTTCTCTGTTATAATCCCATCACGCTGAATATAAATTAAAAGTGAAAGCCAAGTTTGTGATCACAAATGTAGCTGAAGCATGAAATTTGTAGCAAATACATGAAACTTTTGGAAATAAAAGCTCTTCTACCTCCTTGACTTTTTACCACTGGGATGTTCAGTTTATCTCTTCCTGATCAGATGGCTTTTAAAATAACCTTTTCAAAATGACTAAAAGGCAGAATAAAATCAGTTAATTACTATTCAATTTAATCTGGTCACTGAATGTTAGCTTCACTATTCACTATGACTGAACCAAAATGTTAAAAAAAAAATCCAGATAACGTACAATAGTTCCATATGTATATATTCAATCCCACAACATAATGGGATAACTCAATATGTATATTCAGGTTTTTTTTAAGAATTTTTTTTTTATCCTGCCTATATTATTTTTATAAATAACTCAAGGCGGCAAACATACCTAATACTCCTTCCTTCTCCTCCTCTTTTCCCCACAACAACCTTGTGAGGTAAGTTGAGCTGAGAGAAGCGTGACTAGCCCATTTATATACATATTATTTACCATTAATTTTTATGCCACTATCCACCAGTCTCCCAGTAGTTACATAATACAGAGTGGAGTCTTAAAAATTCAGTCACAGTAAAAACCATTGCAATTAAAGGAGTTAACCTAAATGAGTATGATCTTCAAGTCAGTGTCTCTTACTTGTAACCTCTGTATTGAAAGATTAATAACTTTTGGGTTTGTTGTTTAGATCTGATTTTTAATGGATTATTTATTTATCTATTTATGGGGGGATTTTTAATTGTTGATGGGGTTTCTGATTTTGTGAGCCGCCCAGAGTCACCCGCTGGAGGGAGAAGGGCGGCATACAAATTTAATAACAAATAAATAAACTTTAAAATGGAAGGTATTTCTGGAACTTTATACAACCCTCTACCACATCATTTCAGCCTATTTTTCAGTGTTTGTCCCTTAGAGACCTTCTGCTCCTATCTCCATCCTTAAAACCCTGAAAAGAAAAGAAATAAAGGCAAGAAAATATAATCAGCCCTGCCACATCTGAAGACAATACATCAATGAATGGCCTGCTAGAGGTTTCCATAATAACAGGAGACTGCATTGTAGACCCACCTTTCAAATACTGCCTTCTGCTAAAATACAACAAAAAGGCTGATGCTGTTTTGAGCAAGATTTCTTCTGAAAATAATTATCCAGAACATAAGAACAAAAGCCAGACCAGTAAAAAATAGTATCAAAATAGCATTAAATGTGTGTGGATTTAGCACTGTACTTTTTAAACAAATTAAGATTAAAGTTCTCAAAATGCCAGCTAGCTGGCTGAATACTAAGACTAAATGCATAACTATTTTTTTAAAGATTTTTTATCCCGCCTTTATTATTTTATAGATAACTCAAGGCAGCAAACATATCTAATACTCCTTCCTCCTCCTATTTTCTCCACAACAACATCCCTGAGAGATGAGTTGGGCTGAGAGGGAACGACTGGCCCAAAGTCACCCAGCCGGCTTTCATGCCGAAGGTGGGACTAGAACTCACAGCCTCCTGGTTTCTAGCCTAGTGCCTTAACCACTAGACCAAACTGGCTCTCATATTTATTTATTTATTATTTAATTTATGTTATTTGTTTTGTTAGTTTGAAAGTTCCTATAGTTTTTCAATGAAGGTAATAGCAGTACTAATGAAAGTAGTTCCTGGAAAATATGTGTTATTAAATACTTAAAATAAAATGGAAGTAGTCATCTCCACCATTATACAATAACTCTACAAAACTGTTTCTGGACTGAGAGCTGCACCTGGCCTTTGGTATGCTAGTCACTGTACTCCAAAATGTAAGTAGGTCCATTACAAAATAATTTAATATGACCATATATTTAATATTTTCCCTCTATAGTAAAAGTCAGAAATGGTAACTTCTGACAGGGCAGTAGAGCCACTCTTCATCCTCAGGTAACATATCCTTACCAACACTGAGATTATACATATGGCATAGATACACATTGTAACCATATGCAATGATAATGATAATCACTAGAAAGAAGTCTTTGCCTTCACTATCATATTATCTCAAATGCAGCATTTCACATTTAACATTGTCCTAAATCAGTGAATACCCATCATTAATAACTTCAAGGACAGTAAAAGTGAGTATTCATGGTTATTACTGATTAGTTTTTTAAAACATTTTTTACTAGAAGGCTGCCATGGCAGGATGCAACAAATTAAAAATGTAACCTTTAAAAAAACAAAACAATAAAACCTTAAGATTAACTTAAAAATTGAGCTTAAAGAAAAGGTCTTAATATCCCCCCGCCCAATACTTAAAAAAAAAACCCACAGCTGAGTCTAAAGAAAGGGTACTCTATAATTTATAGGTGTCAGGCCCAGCCCAAGAACAAAAGGGAAACAATCCAGCCAAGTTCAGTTCTTTATTGCTTACACCATACAGACAGAATCTTGCCAGACTAAATCTGTACTAAGCTAACCTAATGGATATATCCTGGGAGATTCTAGGGAGTGGCTAGTCTCTTACTCTTCCCGTGCTCCTGCTCTAGACTGTGTTGCCTTTTGTCTCCCCCACCACCTTTCCCTCCTGGGAACCTGGTTCTCTACTGCATTCCATCACACCACCTTCCCCTTCGTAGATCATTCTATTACCATAGAAGAAAGCCTTTCTACATGTTCCCTAAGTGATAAATATTACCTGTCATTTCAATTCCGAAATGAGTATCTTAAATTGGGATAGCACTAAATTTATTTCCAAATTTTGATGTTCTCAATGAGGGATTTCAAAACTGTAGTTTGTGTAGTTTTGATCCATATATTTTTAATGCAGTCGACCTCTGAGAAAATTTTCCCATAGTCCCATCTCTTCGGTGACAGCCTCTCAGCTGTTTATGATAGGCTGGGTCAGGAAAAAAGACACCACAAGGGCTACTAGAACTCTACATTATTGTTGCAGGATGTAATAGAATTTTGAAAGCCCATCAGAGTTTTCCTCTGCTTCCTCTTATACCATATAGAATCAAGATGAGGTTATTTTGAGTCTCTTTCTCACATTCTCACCTATTTCAGGGCTATGTCATTTACTGTTTCTTTTATCTGCTAATGGGACTTACATTTCTTCACAGTTATCTCTGCCGTCCTCATATTCCCACCTTTCCCAGGGCTGAGATCTCTTTTTTGTGCTAACAGCTCTTGCATTCCTTCACCACTATTATCTTTTCCTTTATCTACATAGCCTTATCCATATTTTGGGGGGCTCTCTCTATTTTAGAGTGTGATAAAGGTAGAATTGATTGTTAAAGTAATAAATATTATTAATAACATTAAGTACATTCTGTCAATTTTATGAAATTAAGCAAATGTATGAAGGAGACCTCAAACCTTAACTTACTGTTCATTGCAGACAGGTTTATTAAATAGGAACTTTGGTTAACACTAACCATAGTTATGATAAGTATTATATCCCTTACCTGGGATAGAAAAGTTCTAAAAGTTAAGTTCCAGGAAAAGAAATCAGTTATGTGTTTACATTAGTTCAGAGTAATTTAAAAAACCTCCTAAGTCACAATAAAGTTACAGAAGAAGGGACCTCTGTTTTGCAAAATTTCAAGGATCAGCATTGCTATGGAAATAAATGTGTATAAAAACATTTAAGGAATTCTCCAATAAGCTTTAAATTAAAAACTCTGCATGAAAAAACTTCAGATTCCCATATATTCCCATGTTTATGATCTTATTTTTTAATCCCCAAGGAAATAGGAGAATACATTTATAACATTCTTACCAGTAACTGTTTTTAGTCTTCCTTGGCATCCTTGAAAGTGGAGGATCCAGACATCCAAGATGATAATGGAGTTTACAAGTATCACACAGCAAAAGGAGATGCTGATCATGGTTCTTCTTGCAAATCCCACAACTTGGAAATGCAGGAAAAGGTTTCATTTGAGAAAATGCATATACTATGCTAAACTGTCTCAAAGTTAATATGGGGTAGAATCCAGAGGTCCTTATGCATAAGCAGAAATTT